GTCGGCGTCGTCGTGGGAGAACCGCCGTGTGGGCGGGACCTGCGAGCACCCGGCCGGGCTGAAACGGGGCTGCCCTCCTGGAAACCCGCACCGATGCCTCCCCGCGCCCTGCAGAGCAGTGTGTGGGTCAGGGACTAGGGCCCCCTGGATCGGAGCTTTGAGAGTTTGGGGCAACCTCTCTAAACCTCGCTGGCTCGGTGTTGACTGAAGCTTGGGTCAGTTGGGGGGACGTCTCATGGGACGGTTCGCAGCACAGACACCAATGGACCCCTCTTGCAGAGCACCGGGCTGGGCCCACCCACATGGACTGTGACCCCGAGTCAAGCTGACAGCCATCCACGGCCACTGATGTGTGCGTGCATGCGTGCATGCAAGCGAGAGAGGGGAGAGCGAAAGAGACGGGGGAGGGGGAGAGTCCACCACAGACTTAGGCGGCCCCTCTGCTGTGCTGCAACCTACCTGCAGATACTGCATCCGATCCTCCTGCAGTGGTCGCAGAGGGTAGAGCTGGGGTAAGCCTCCCTCTAGGGCAGAAAGCTCATACTTGGCCATCCTGTCCAGGGCCACGAAGTCACCTCCATAGCTGTAGTCAAGGGAGCGCTCCAGTACCAGGTCGGGGGAGATGCTGCCATCTAGGCTGGTCTCTGCTGGGTAGGACAGAAGCATAGCACCGTGAAAACGGGGAGCATCAGGAAGGTTTTAGGGATCCCCATAAGGAAGGGAGTGGTTTGCGGGAAGGGCAGGCAAGGGTTACGAGTTCAAACCCCAGCTACAGCACATGTTAACTGTGAGTCTGAAGGCTGACACAGCTACTTTGCTCCTCTGAGATTTGGGTTGGGAACTTCCTGGGTAAATACCCACGCAGGCTGACAGCTCCTGGCACACAGCCTATTGCCACGGGAATATCTGGTGGCGGTGAACAGGGTCACCTAAGTGCCATGTGGTGGGGGTATACCAAATGACTATTTCAGTGACACCGGGCGATCTCACCCAGGTGCTGCCCTCTCCCTCTCCACAGAGGCCACCCCGAGGCCATCCTTACCATTGTCAGAGTCCTCGTCATTGGCCATAAGGGCCATGCACTTCTCCCAGACTGCCTTGAGGTCTGCTCGGTATCGGTCACAGGTCCAGAGGAACACTGGCAGCAGCAGGGCCTGGGCCACAGAACACCACAGGACACAGAGCACCATCCAGGGCGCGGAGGCATCAGCCCGCAGGCTACTGAAGCTCACCACCTGTGGGCACAGGGCTAGGCCTGGTCTACAGAGCCCTCCCTACAATGTCCCTCCCAGCCACAGCTGCTCCATCTGCACCACAGAGCCCATAACCTACTGTCCAGAGGAAGGCCTAGAAAGAAGGTGGCTGCAGAATGTCCCAGGTGAGGAAAAGGGCCACTGAGTGAATGAAGACAGCAGCCCATGTCCACTCTGAGGGCAGCCCAGCTGTGTGTATCACCCACCCCTCAGTGTTGGGCAGCAGCCTCACGGGTGCCCATGGGGTGATGTGACATGGGTTACTGTTCCAAAGAAAGAGGCCAGGAGAAACAGCCTCAAGCTTACACTTTTCTGTCACTGTCATATCCTCCCAGGCCAATGGTCCTTAGCTCTGCCCCTACCCACAAGATCAGCCTCCAGAGGAGACCCAGCGGTCAAAGAGCTCTTCCTAGGGTCCCCTCATCAGCTGGGAAAGGGTTTAAGGATGCCACAACAGAACAAAACTGGGCATGCCATGTCTGTTCTGTGATTTGTGTAATCCTTGGAAAGCAACTGAATTTCTCTGGGGCTCCATTCCCTTGTCTGTGAAGTGTGCTAGAACACCCACACTACAGAAGGCAAAGTAAGGATAAATTTTTAAAAAACATTTTTTATAGTTTCATTTTTTAAAAGCATTTATTTTTTATGTGTTTTGCCTGCACGTATGTATGTGTATATGTGTGCTTATGGATGGTTGTGAGCCACCGTGTGGATACTGGGAACCAAAGCCAGATCTTCTGCCAGAACAGCTAGTGTTCTTAACTACTGAGCCATCTCTCCAGCCCTGAGGTAAGAATTGCCTTTATGGATGGTTGTGAGCCACCGTGTGGATACTGGGAACCAAACCCAGATCTTCTGCCAGAACAGCCAGTGTTCTTAACTACTGAGCCATCTCTCCAGCCCTGAGGTAAGAATTGCCGATAATGTTTATGACAAGCAGTGGGCTCCATCAATGGCACCACTTCCCAGCTCTAAGAAAATGCTGGGGCGGCCCCTCCTCTAAGAAAGGCCCATCTCCATCTTTCCAGGGTTCTGGATGCTCAGGCTGCTTTCCTAGCTCTCACCATTGACCTGAAGGAGCACCAGGCCCCACTGCAGATGAGCACCCTAGAGTAGGAGGGGAGGGTGGCAGAGCGAGCCAGAGACACAACACAAGTCCTTGACGGTGAAGTGGTCACTGATCTGGCCCCTCTCTGGTTCTGTGTCCTGCAGGGACAGAACCCTCCTGGCTGTGTGGGCAGGCTGCCTCTGGCCTGGGCTCTTGTCTCTCCAGGAGCCCCAATGAGACTCCTGGAGCTGTTTACTGAGTGTAGACTTCAGTCTTTTTTTAAAAAAATATATTTTATTTTTATGTGTATGAATGTTTTGCCCGAATGTATTTCAGTTTGTCCTATGTGTGCCTGGTGGCTGAGGAGGTCAGAAGAGGGCATCAGACCCCCTGGAACTAGAGTTAGATACAGTTGTGAGACACCACGTAGGTGCTGGGAATTGAATCTCGGTCCTCTGCACTGAGCCATCTATCTCTCCAGCCCCCGACTTCAGGCAGTGGGTTAGCAGGGCCTTCGTCCAATGAGCCTTTAATTCGACCTCCTCCAGTCCTTAGGAAGAGATGCAATGCAACTTCAGAGAAGACATTGGGAACCTGCCCTGTGCCAACTCAGTGTCCCCTACCTACCTGCCACATCCTGGGACCTGGGCAGGGGAAGGCAGTGGCATTGCTTCTCATGGAAAGGGCCTGGGGTGAGGGGAGGAAGTACCTCTGCAGTATGACAAAAAGACACGAGTCAGCTGACAGGGGTTCAAGTCTCGTCACACCTACCCTGACTTTGGGCAAGTCATGTAACCCTCTAAACTCTGCTTTCCAAATTCGTAATAATTCACAGCTGAAGTCAGGTTTGAAGCTTCAGCCGCCTGATGGCCAGTCCCTAGGCTGTCCTAGAAGTCACATCCATGAGAGGCTCCCTACCCAACGACCTCACCCACCAGCACAGGGAAGCCCATGAGGCAGTCATAGATGACCACGATGGTGGCCACCAGGCCTGTGATCTGCAGCGAGGTTTTGGCAGGCTCCGAGCCGTCAATGGAGGAGCGACGCTTGCCCTGTGTGTCCTCCACCACGATGGTGGGCACAGTGAAGGCACGGCGGTCAGCCCGGTGCCCCACCTGCGTGGCCAGTGTCTGGAAGAGGGCAATGGCTGTGCAGACCACGCCCATGGCCACGCTGCCACCCACCAGTAGCAAGAAGCAGACGCCGAAGCCAAGGCCGATCTCAGCCACGATGAACCGGCAACCGTGGGTGTAGAAACGCTCACTGGTGTCGTGCCAGCCAACGGCAGGAAGGGCAGACAGGATGAAGGACACCATCCAGATGCCCATGACTGTGTGTACCGCTTGCTTCTTGGCATTGCTCAGCCTGGCACCAAGTAGGGCAGGACAGAGAATCCCGGTGTTACTCACTGGCCTCTAAGGGACCACAGAGGGTCCTGACCACCCGTCCCCACTGACCACAGTCTGCCCACAGCCAGCACAGCAGGGCAGTGTCCCCCTCATGCACCCGTCCCTCTGGCCTGGCGTCTCTGTACTGAGACACTCGTGTTCAGCCATGAGCACCTCCACGTGCGGGCCCCAGCAGCCCTGGACTATTCCAGCCCTCATGTGCTCACCCGTCCTGGCACAGCGCAACCACATACACAGACACGCCAGACTGTCTTGTGCTCACCGGTAGTTGACTGGCCAGCGGACCATCCACATGCGGTGGTAGGAGATGGACGTGACGGAGAAACAGGTGGCCAGAGTGAGGGTGTAGAAGGTGGACACGAAGACCTTACAGAGACCCTCGTTCCACTCGTAGTCGGGACGCTGCCTCCGCAGCTGCACAACTGCGTATGTGGCAATGGGCACTGCCACGTTGAGCATGTGGGTGGCCGCCAGCGTGCAAAGCAAGAACTCCAGAGGCTTCCACTTCCTCTGCTTGGCACCCACACTGAGGATGCCCCAGGCATTGGCCAGCAGCGACAGGCCTCCACACGCCAGCCAGCCTACCGCACTGCCAGGCAGCCGCCGCTCATCACTCATGGTGCAGACCGGAGCTGGCGACTGGCTGTGGCATCCTTCCCCCTTCTCCTCTTCCTCCTCCGCCTCCTCCTCGCAATGCAGCAGCCCTCACATGTGGGGGCTTGGCGATGCCAGGGACCACAAGCAGCTGGGGAGGAGGCAATGAGCACCCAGTGAGACATCAGACAGAGTCCTCGAGTGCCGTTACTCATGTGCTCTGACTTACACCAGGCTGCTGTCTCAGAAGGATCTCGTTACTTACTGGGCAGGAGGCCCAAGGGGCAGTATACAGGGGTGTCAAATAAGTGCACATTCCCTCATTTCCACTCACTCATCATCTGAGCTTCCTTTTTAAATTTTCTTTTTAAGATTTTTATGTACCAGTGTGAGCCTGAATGGTCTGTGTACTGTACGCATGCAGTACCGTCAGAGCCCAGAGGAGGGCATCAGATCCCCTGGAACTGGAGTTACAGGTGAGGTTGATGAGGTTGCTGGGAACGACCCAGGTCCTCTGGAAGAGCAGTAGTGTTCTGAACCGCTGAGCCACCTCTCCAGCCCAGAATCAGTTTTCTTACAGGTCACATGTTCACTTATAGTCTCAGGCCAGGCTGGGCCCCAAAGGACTGCCATCTCTCTTTGGATTTGAGTGTTTTGCTTGTATACCACGTGTTTCTAGACCAGGAGAAGGTGTTGGGTCCCCTGGAACTGGAGTTACAGACAGTTGTGGGCCACCATGTGGGTGCTGGGAATTGAACCTGGGTCCTCTGCAAGAGGACCACTGAGCCATCTCTCTCCTCAGTCTGGGTTTTTAAGGGACAGGGCCTCACTATGCAACCCTGACGAGCTTGGCACTTGTGTAGGCCAGGTATGTCCTAGTTTTGTCTCACTGCAAGCCCTCTTACCATCATGTGTTGGAAAATCCCCACACAGATACCCCAAGCACTTTGACCTTTGTTTATCCTGCCCCCACCCTGCACCTCCCTTTGTCTTCTCTGATGCCCCAGGCGATGTGTGAGGTAGAAATAAGATGGCCACCACTCTTGCACCCACCCTGGGAGTGGGTAGACATTCTCTCACAGTGGGGCTCTACACAGGCCTTGGCACAGCCAGAGACTGTGACCAGAACTGCATCACTGGCTGTGGCGCCAGGCAGGCCCCCCACCTGAGGAGAGTTATGCTATGTCTGTGGGGAGGCTAAGTGATCAGAAAGCACATGTCTACAGCCTAGGACCCAGGTATCACACAGTGGGTGTTGTGAGGGGACAGCGGCATGCTGGGAGCTAGGTCATATGTCCAGTGGGTACTGTGAGGTAGCAGTTAGCACCATGTCCTCCTGGGCCTGGATCTCACCCAAAGTGTGATATGGACTAGTGTTGGCCTGGAGTCATTCCAGAGCCCAGACCTTAATTGCAAGGAACTGCCAGTTGCCTTCAGATGGGAGTGAGGGACAGACATAGGACCCTGGGCAGGTTAAACATGCAGGGGAGGAACCAAACACTACCAGAAGGCTGGTTGGCAAGTCCTTCCCACCCCTCCCTCTTCTAGCCTGCCAGCTCTCCCAGGCTCCCTGTGTGGAGCACTGCATCTTGGAGCAGGCAGCCTGGGGACAGTCCCCAAGCTCAGTGAAGGCTACCTGAAGTCCCCTCAGCTGCACTACCCAACCTACCACACATCCAGCCTCACACAGTGCCTCACACAGTGCTGGGATGGATGGGCAATGGCAGCCTTAGCCGAGATCCATTCCCAGCTCTCAGGCAGGAAAAACCAAGCTGTCCTGGACAACTCAGCAGACATTCTCTGCTGGCTTGTCTGTGATTTCTTCAAAAAACGTTTTTGACACAAGGTCACTCTATGTAGCCTTGTCTGTACTGGAGCTCACTGTAGACCAGGCTGGCCTTAAACGTCCAGGGATCTGCCTGCCTCTGCCTCCCCAGTGCTGGGATTAAAGGCGTGCACACCACACTCAGCCCTTGGCTATATAGTTCTTTTCACCTGCTGTGGATTCTTTTCATTTGCTTTTGTGTGTCTGCCCCAGGCCTGCCCAGACCCTGACTCAGGGGAGGGTCTATTGTAACCTGCTGCAGGCAGGGCAATTTCTGCCCAAACATTTATTAGGTCGATGCTTGCAGAAACTAGTGTGGGCAGCAGGGTGGCCCTATGCGGCTGTAGCCTCCACCACAGTGCCTGGGTCTGGCCAACCTTCTCAGCTGCAGACTGGATGGCTACAAAGGTGTGGGAGAAAGAACACTGTGGACTACTCAGGAAGCTGGAGTCCAGCCCCAGCTCCCAGCTCGTTACTTGATACCTCTGCACCTCAGTTTTCAGGTCCAGAAATCAGACACAGCAGTGCCTTTCTTGAAAAGAGTTGGTGCACTCTGCCAGGCAAAGTGCTGAGTGGGGCCGGAGGCACAGTGAGCAGTCAGGAAACACTTGCCCAGGCCAAAGCAGAGAGAACATGGAGAATAGCCAAGCCTGCGGCCCTCACCCAGGCTTCAATTCAGTGGTCTACAGGGCAGAGGGCTGTCGGTGGGTAAGGGAGGGAGAGAGGAAGGGAGGCTCCCTTCTCCAGCATCTTTAATGGGAGAGCTGCTGCCATCCCCATTTCAGAGTCATTTTAATAGAGGCAGAGAGAGATGCCATCACCTGCCAACATCTTTACGTACCCGAGCCAGGATTCAAACTGCATTCATCAAACACAGAAGTCGTGGTCTGAAGCCCTTTTGAAAAGTACCCAACAAGGTACTTCACTGCTCCCAGAAGCAAGGTCTGTCTGAGATGCTCGTCCCTGCATACATCCTAACTTTGGCAACTGAGGTCGCCTCCAAGCTGAGGGCAGCTGAGAGGAAAGGGCCAGGGCAGGCCATATTTGACCCCGGGAATCCTAGAGGCTGTATTTTGGGAGGGGAAGAATGTTCTGGAGTGTTGAGGGGCAGATATCGGATCTCTTTAAGTGAAGAGGCGGTGGGGACTCGCTGTTGATGCCCACAGATGCTAGGGCAGCAGTCACTGGGGGCCAGATCCCATGGGCTCCATCTGGGTTTGGCTGGGCTCCTTCTGCAAGCACTCCGAATTTCCAGAAGGATGCTTCCCACCTCAGGAACCTCAACAACTCATCTTCCCCAAGGCAGGACACAAGCAGGTCAGACAATCTAGAGACCCTCCCAGGCCTTTAAGCCTCCTCCCTCCGCGGGGTCTGCGGGGAGGGCCAGGTCGTGACGTCACGGTCCAGGGCCAATAAGGCCGCGCAGCCCCAGGGCTGTATTGCGCAACAAAGAGAACCCAGAACTTGAAAGGATTCCCCGGGTTCGGCTGCGCCCACCCGTCTCCGAGAAGCCTACGCTTCGCGATTTCTCCTCCTAGCGGGCCTTGGTCTACCAAAGGATCGCCAAAGGCCCAGGGGGACGGAGCGCAGTGCACGCCCCTTGACACCCCACTTATGGGTTTCCCGGGGCTCAGATGGTTTCTTTACCCACCCCTAAAAGGCGCAGCCCCACCGGTCTGACCCTTGTGGTTCTTCCAGTTCCCAGTCTCGAGGGTGCGTCCAAGCGACGGCTGGGAAGCCAGCTCGAGGGTGGGACTGTGCCTCAACCCGCACCCTCAGTTTGCGTTGAGCATAGGGGCCTGGGACCCACAAAGCAGCCACGCCTGCCCGCTGCGAGCCTCCAAGGACTGCGCCGCCAGCCCTGGAGGCGGGGAGCCGAGGGAGAGGCTGGCTCGGAGAAGTTACCGTGAAGGTCCCCAAGTTGGTGGTGGTGGGGCGTTCTGGCCCTAAAGGCTGCCCACGGCCACTCCGACGGACCCCGCGTCCCACCAGGTGCTCGCAGCGCCTCCTTGTCCAGCCCTCCCGCCCGGATTTCCCCTTCGGTCCCCCTGGGCCGGGGCGGCGAAGCTCACCCAGCATTCGGGCGCCCGAGGCTCCAGCTCGCTGCTCCCGCCTCCGGCTCCTGCTGAGGTTCCCGCGCCCTGGCACTGAGCGCCCGCCGCCAGGGGCCGCGGGGGTGGCTGGCGGCGGAGCGGCCGGCGGGCCGGGGCATCCTGGCGGCGGCTGCCGATAGCCAGATCGCAGCGCTGCGCTCGGCCCCGCCGCCCGCCCTCCCTGGGCGCCGCCTCCGCCACGGCCGCGCTCGGCTCCCGCCGCTCCGCTGGCTGCGCTCCGGCGGCCGGGGGCGGGGGGCGGTCCAGGGCGCATGCCTCTGCCGGGGCCTCCGCGCCGCCCCCTGGCCGCGCCCCGCCTTCCCGACCGCGTCGCGCTGGCCCCCCACTCCCGGCAGCCACGTAGCCCCGGCAGCTGCAGAGAAGCCCCTTAGAGCGCGCCACGGGACCCGCCCACGCTGGGGCCTCTTGGGTCTGGGTCACTCGCGCAGCCGCCTCTAAGCCGCCTGGAGTTGAGGGGCGGGGCTCGCAGGCCAGAGAAAGGGGAGCTTCGACATGGAGAGGACACAGGACAGGGGATATGGGGAGTCAGGGAGGAAGCCATGTCAGATGTCAGCTCTCCCGACAAACCAGGGACAGGATTCGTGCGCCTGAGGACTAGCGGCTTCTAGGAATCTAGAGTAGCAGGAGGCAGTGTTGGGCCAACCAAAGATTCCAACTTACTACTTGTGCCTTGGGCGCTGCTGGGAACAGTGCAGGGACCTCAGGGTTGCAGGGTGACTGGCCCTCTTCCATGGGTTCAGCCTTGTCACCGGAGGTCTGACCAACCAAGCTGTCTGGTAGAAGCCGGGATCTGAAGCTTGATTCCCGGCTCTTCCTCCCCTCCTGGAATCCACCTTCTGTTAACACTTCTAGTGGGCTTAGGCTTGTCACCCCTGCAGTCCCCGGCTCCTGTGCAGAGAATGTTGTCCTGTTCTCCCTGGCAGCTCTTAAGACCTCTCCAAGTCAGAGAGATCTTCCTGGTCCTCCATCCAGTAAACACAAATGACAAAGTCTTCTGGACAGTCTACTCAGTGTTGTGTGGGACAGGACCATCTTTATCCTCCCTGGACCAGAGAGCTCTGTGCCCACAGGAAGGTGGGTACCTAGGATCAGACCCACATTTACTGCAATCCATAGCTGCCTGGTGTCCTGCAAGCTACCCTTACTTGGTAGCTAATCTTCTGTACCCTGGGGTGCCAGGGTGCACCGATATTCAGGGCTGGGATACCTCCAGGTGTGCCCTCCCACAGTCCCCAGGCTTTCTGGGAGTGGTCAGGGCTCTCAAGCCCTTTGTGGACTGAGTGGCTCCTATGCAGGCAACCCTGGTTATAAATAGACTGCCAGCAGAGGGCACTTGTGATCAAGCATGGCATTTTAATGCTGTGTCTATGGAGGACATGCCCCAGGGAGCCCAAGGCCTAGGTCCTGCTTAGGATGCCATGGCTGGGTCTGGGTTCAAGATCTGTGTTCGTGCTTCCTGCTGGCCCGAGTAACCTCATCACTGCATCAAGGGTGTACTTGTGGCATCCGCTGGAGACCTCAAAGTTGTCTAGGGACCCGAGGGACAGGCAGCGCTGATGTGGCTGTATGTGGAAGAGCTGATCCCCTCCCTACATCCAGGCAGGAAGTAACCCCATCTTCTGGGACCTAGGCCGAGACAGATTCTGAAGTTGAAGCTGCTGGCGGGTATTTCTGCACATCTGGAGCTGGGCTCTTCCTCCAGGGGCCTCGGGAGCCATGTGATAGGCTGCAGCTGTTGGCAGGACAGTTTGCCTTCTCCATGCGGTAGGAAACATGTTTGGGCCGCAGGGAGAAATCCAGGCGCCACCTCTGGCTGTTTGGTGGGCAAGGGGTGGAGTCCTGGCCCCTGGAGAGGTCTTGGTGGCTTTTGTGCACCCTCCCCAAGGCAGCTGGGCCACAAGTACAGACATGTATCCTAACGATGACACAGCTCCTTAGCACACACCCACTGCTACAGACAGACAGCAACACAGATGCATGCACACAGAACCTCACACCACATATGCACACAGAAAAACAGACGTGCACACGTGCTCCACCACACACATCCCTACCTGCAGCTACACAGCCACCCCCTGACCCATTGACACTGCCTCCCAGACCCTCATTCCACATGAGCCTCTCCAAGTAGCCCCTGTCAGCAGCGGGCAGATTCCCAGCTGATGTGGTATCTGGACCAGGTAGTACAGATTCTCTGCCCCCATCACCTGCTTAGGCCTTAAGCAAGGAGAGGGACAAGAAGCCCTTGTTAAGGGACTGTACACGAGGCTCAGGCAGCTCCCCACGTGAGCCATGGGGCAGTGGGGTCCCAGGATTCCACTCAGATGCAAGGCCCCAAGTGTACCTCTCTCTGAGCTTTCAGAGCTGGTGTTGGGAGGGCTGAGGCTGCACAAGGAGGAAAGAAAGCAGATCCCCTCCCAAACCTCAGACAAATGACCACTCCAGGTGTCAGGGTCCAGCCAGACAGCAGCTTTATTAGTGGTGCTGGTTTCTTCACAGACCATTCCGT